TATTCTATATATAAAGACAGGAATTTATACAACCAGTAAAGATTTTCTATTGATAATTACCAAATGATGCTTTATCAATCCTGCTGACACTACCATTCATCTCCGAAGAGGCAGCAGAGATATTCTAAGTCCTGTTCCAACTCCTCAGCTTCCTCAAGTCATCAAAAACTCCTCCTTTTACTTAAGACAGCAATACAGTCATGTACAATTCCTGCAAACATTAAATCTTCGCAGTTAGAATAAGCAGCATCAAACCCTGATGATATGAAAATCATACCACAAAACATACAATCTATGAAAACAGAATCAAAAAAAATGGAAGAGCCCGTGGTGTAAATGTAACACTCAGGACGTTGCAGTTGAGAGGTACTTATGTTATTGGGGTGAAAAAAGAAATTTATAATTAATCACAAAATTTTCTGTGGCTCTCACTTTCACGAGTGACAAGATGATTTCCTGGTTGTAAGCTAAATATATTGCTCCAGCTTGATTATTCTCAACAATATACATCGCTTGTGACATTACCTTACTTAAAAAACTTTTTGCACTGCTAATTATTAATTACCAAAGCTGTCAAACTTACACACAAGAACTTAATACTTAGGGGCACAGACAGAGCAATGGAGAAACAGTAGTAAACATTAGTAATGCAATCATTAACAGGAAGCATCGAGCAAAATGGAATCACTGTTGGGGCTTTTGTCTTATATGTCCACTGCAGAATTATCTATGTATGTATAGAGTTTTACATCTATTTTCAAAGTAGCACTATGGAACATTCTCTCATATTTGCTTTATATATTAATTTTCCATTACATGTGAAAAAGGTCTCTTGCCAGTCTTCCAGAAAGGAAGACTAGATGGAATGAAAAAAACACATTTTACCCTTGAAATAAGATCTGTTCATTATCACAGCATTATCAAATTTTCATTAAGTGAATTAGCATCGCTGAGTTCAATTAAAAAGTCGAAATTGGCAGGTTATCTATTTCTCTACAAAAAGCATAGGAAAATATTAAATAGGCAATTATATAAAAAAAAAATCAGTTCCTCTTATTTGAATTACAGTTATTCAACACTGCAGTCTGAATTTCTTTGAGCAGGGGTGGAGAGAGAAAGATGATTTCTATTTATTATTTACAGGACCAGACATATTTACTCCAGTCTCAAAGTAAGAAATACTGGATTGAAATAGTCTGGGAGGAGTTTTGATCACATCCTTTACATTTTACTGTTCTTCCGTAAGTTTAAAATATTTTTCTTTGAAAATGAGTTGTTCAGGACAAAAATAGTGGTAAAGGGGAAATACATAAAAATGTATCATAAAGAAAATTTGCAATTGCCATCATATAAAAATTTTCATTCTTGAACATTTTTTTTTTTTTAAAGTATTGTAAAAAACCCCCAACACCTACAACCATGAGCTTGCCTGATTTCATTCAGTTTCTAAGAAGAAGGCATTAGGCATTATAAAGGCAATACTTGCATGATCCGGATTGAATACAGTAAGTTGGAAAAATCCTATCTGAAAATGGCAAAAGAGAACCATGCACTTAACAATCTGCTGCCATTTTAAAACACGCATTTCTCCTCTTCCTCTTTCTGAAGCGTAGGGCATTTCATCTATATGAATACCAGCCACTTCAAAAAAAAAATAAATGCTGATTGCTTTGTATTCCTTTCAGATTTCAAGGTGTGCTGACTGACTGCAGAAATTAAGTGCATTCAACCGGCGGGGGGGAAAATCATCTAGTAAACTTTGTATAGTGATTTTTGTCTTGATGAATCTACCATATTGAATTGGGCTTCGCAAGATCTATTGCGATAACTTGTTTTCTAAAAAACTAACTACTTCTAGGAGATGCGTTTACCTTATTTTTGATGAAATATTGGGGTGTACACTTTGAAGAACTTTAAACATCAGTATTAAATTGTAAAGAATTCATTTAAAACTTAACTATGTATGTCCTCAGTTCCAGGACCTGGAACTCTTACAGCAGCAAGGAGAAAAACCACAATACTTTGAAATTACAATAATCATGAGATAGTAACACTGTGTTCAAAAGTCTGTCTTTAGAAAAGCCACATCACTAAACACAGTTACAACCCATAGAGAAACCCCATAAAATATTTTGAGCCTCCTTTTCAGACGCATTTGGATTTGATAGCCAACACTAGTCTAAGGCATAGAGTTGCATAAAATTTGCTCTCCTGGGCAGCTAGTAAATACAGCATAAATGATGCTTACAATTTTTCTTCTACTTGCACATTTAAAAAAACCTTCTGCTTAGGACAATCAAAGTTAAATTCTTTGGTGGTCATTTAAAAAAAATGAACTATACAATGACAATTGAACAGTTGTCCTATACTGAGGTAATTCGAGGAGTGTCACAAGAACGTTGCGTTACAAACACCCACTTGGCCATTTTCCCTGCCTAAAAGCAGCTCCCAATTTTTAACACGCTCAGCGCAGATCTCTACAGCGACCTGAACAGATCCTGTTCCATAGCCCGTCTTAACGCACTGCATATAGCAAGGCTGAAAGTTGTAAAGAGAGTGTATCCTACAGTCAGGAAAGGAAAGGAAAGGAAAGGAAAGTTCGCCCATGTGTTATGTCCTTGAATTGATCAGGAAGATTAACTACGTAGTCTACTGTAATCGATATATTAGAATGCTGCCACACATTAAAATGTAGTGTAGCTTACTGAGAAACAAGGAGAAAAGGAAATACAACTTGCAAAGACTTGAGAGATGCCATCTGAACATCCTTAAAGGGGTGAATGTCAAGTACAGTAAAAAAAAATTAATATAATATTTCCATTATTTGACTAACTTCCCATTGTTTGCATATGCTTTTCATACAACAGCATGAAAATCATGTCACTTGGAAAAGGGATTTTGGTTTGCTTTTATGGAAAACCTAATGGAACATAGCCTTTCGCTTTTGTTTGTTTACCAGAATAATCAGTTATGCCCACAGAGCTCCCAGAGTGGTGCCTGTTGAACCTACAGAAGCAAGAGCACATAGTACTATAATTGGATACAAATGAAGCCAGTTTTGCTCCTTTTGATTTTTTTTTTTTGCAATAAAACAATGAGGGGAATAGATTTTACTTTCCAAGGGACGACTCCCATCATACTTATAAGAAAAGGAGAGCAAAACCGGGATGCAGTACTTGACGTTGGCCCCTTTAAATGAGGAAAACAAGCTTTGGAAAAAACAAATGAAACCTTACTTTACTGGCTACAAGGAAAACACAAATAGATATTAAGATATGCTTTAACCTGTACGAAATGTCAAAGCTACTCGATTAAGTAAAAGTCAAGTGTTCCTCATGCCGCAATGACACGTTGTTAGGAACAGCAAGGAGACAGCGATTCTGTGCAAGTTTTCCGGCAGGTGTCGCAATATCATCTCATCTCAAACATTTAAATAGGTTTTTTTGTAGATATATGTGAATTATTTTTCTACTAGATTAACATTTTTGTGAAAAATTAACCAGGAAATTCAATTATGAAGTTATGTTTCGTTTAAGTAAACTGTAAATAAACTTATAAACTCTGGTCTAACGCAATTTCTAAACAAAGATGGTTTTCATTTTTTAACCTGTTTACACTCATGGATTACTATCTTGCACGTGATTCATCTTTGCATGCATAGCGTAAAACCTTAGAATTTGTTTTTTAGATTTTTATGACCTACCAATGTAGGAGTGCTGACAAGAAACAAATTGATGCCTTTGTAAAGAAATGCATACAGAAACATTTTTAAGTTAATAGTAAATTAGTAATGAGTAAAAGCTTACCCCACAAAAATCAAATTAGCTGCTACATTTTAAAACTCTTATGTATGATAAATAAAATTATTTTTCCTGTAAAAAATTTTCATTAATCTCTCAACCTGCTTTTTGAACAATAGAATAAATAAATCCATTAGTGCCTAAAAGTTCAAATATGCTACAGATGTTTAAGGTAACTGAATAACTACATTAAAATGCACCATGAGAAAACTCTTTATCATTCTCCATGCAGGAAGCCAATTGATATTTTTGTGAGGTACCGGTCTTTCAAAAATACTCATAAGTTAGTTACCTGATACACCTTCTGTACACGGTATATTTAAAAATCTAACTGTACAGTGTTTCAATCATATATAATGCATATAATTTGCTGAATATGGCACAAATGCTAAGTTTCCACACCCACATGTCCTTTGCCATAGAACACATTTTAGGCATAACACAACACTGAAGAATAGAAAAGTGCCTGAAACTGGAAAAAAAAAAAAAAAAAAGACACTCAAGTAGTAATAAATTAAATCTCATTCAAACCGATATAAAAGTTGTTCAAGTGTTTAAAGTATCAGATGTGTCATGCAACAGAACAACAGACGATTCAGGCAGGCACACCATGCATTATAGTTTGCATTCATGGTATCACAAGGTATCTCTCCCCACTTCTGCGTGGCCAGTGAGCGCTGGGTACCTGTGGCCCTGCTAAGCTCACGTGTTGAACCTCCAAAACCTCTCGGTCTCCCGCACAGGAGGTTTTATGGAGCTATGCCTCAGAAGGATAACTGGACAACCTCATGCTGTACAGTGGTATCTTGCCGCACCATAAAGAGGCGTGCTGAGCTGCATGTAAGCAAAGCAATCATTTCTTGATTATATTTTCCAGTCAGTGCAGTTCACCATAAACCAATTGATTTACCACAATGTGCTTATCCGAAACTGGCCAAGTTTGCACACCAAGAAAATGTCTTTGCAGAACATATCACCTTTTCCTTTTCTTTTTTTTTTTTTTTTTTTTTTGGTTTGGAACAAATCCTTTTGTACTCTTGCAGCAAGCTCTTCACCATAAAAGAATTCAGAGAGACTAGCCTGTACAAACACCGGTGCTTATTCTTCCACGGAGTAAACTACAAAGACAGCTAAGTGCCTGCAACAGCTTTGCTTCTCCAGCAACTTTCCCTTCTCTCTCTAGGGAGAGCACCAGCGTAATTACACTTCAGACAAAGGGGTGTTCTTGCCAAGCTCTTTAATTCCCTGGAGAATTCGCTTCATATGACCCACTTTCGTTATCCCCAGGTCCTACAGAAATTTAAAAAAAAAAAAAAAAAAAAAAGAAAAAAAGAAAAGGAAGTAAGTTTATTTACAAAAAGGAAAAAACACCCCAAACCATTGATTATGATGTAGCCATGCAACAGGTGTCTAGAAATATGCTCACTGCAATCAGCATTAACTGGAAAAGATTCTATGGCACTAGGAAGTGTTGCCTAACAAAAAAATTGCTTATATCATACAACAAATCCCTCTCTGTCTTGCAGACAGAAAATTACTTACCTGCAATAATGACAACCCAAGGCACTGCAATATCTGTCAAAAACATCTTTCACTTGACTTCTAAGTACAAAAACCTTTCACAATTTCTGGCAAAAAAAAGAACAATCTCCCCCTCCTCTCTAATACAGCAATCAAATGCTGGGTAGGATGTGATGGATTAGAGCTTCTGTCCAGCAATGTCACTTGATCTGAGGACCTATGATGTCCGTTTTAATCAGCAAACACACATATCCCCAATTCCTCAAGGGAAAGTGGATGTAACAGCTACAGGCATGTAGGACAACTTCCCTTTAGAGAGCAATAGAAAAAGGTAAGCATTTGTTTTTCATTCCAAAAAGGTTTAGTCTCCTAACATGGATCTTCCTGATTACAGAGCTGGTAGAAAAATTCTCAGAGACATGACAGTCACATCCCAAAGGAAAATGTAAAAAGCACAAGCGTAGATCTCCTTCTAGCCACCACTAAAACAATCACATCAGCTGAAACGTTTCTAATATTGGTTTCAGGGACCCATCTCTGTATGAGTGACAACAGACAAGAAATTTTTGCAGCAAATCTCTTCCAGCATTTAAAACAGCTTTAACAGCATCCTTTTTCAATTTTGACTGGTCCAATGGTCAGAGCAGCAGAACAGGACACCCAGCTGTGCTAATGAACCCCAACTGCGCTAATGAATTTTCAGCTCAGTTTGGTGGAAATCTGCTTCCCTTATCTGTAAAACCCAGCTTTGAAAAACTCTTTAAAATCCTGGTGTTAGTGATGTGGCAGATTCAAACATTAGTTATTTGTAGAATAAACCTTATGTAAATAGCTTGCGATTTAATAAAAAAATCTTAGTAAAGTTTCACTATCTATTCTTCTGAAATAGAAATCCTTTCATTTTAATAGGAATATTTTCCATTACGAAGACATTAAAAGGAAGGGAGTGTTATCAAGCAGGTTGAAATAGTTATTCTCACACAGAGTGAAAAATGAAAGCAAATACAGTATTCTATACATTCTCTACACAAAGACTGTATCCAACTTTCTACAGTCAAAGAAGCCTCAGGAAATCTGCACTTAGTATTACTTAAACATGTTAGCATGCAATTCATTTTGCATTTCTCCAAAGGAAGAAAGGGGTGGCAAGATGGGCGTGAATTAATTACTTTATGATAAAGGTAGCATAGCACAGATTAAACAGGTGGATTAATTTTCAGAGAGTCAAGATTGAATTCTGGTTATGTTAGAGATGGAAAAAAAATCTGGTTGTTTCTTCAGTAGAAAGCTGCCTGTATACGTGACCATCCTACACAGCACTTTGGTACAAAGGTGTCAGCATCAGAGTTCGAGATGTGTTCATAAAAGTTCCCAAACCAAGTCCTGTTCATAAACCTATCTGAAAAAACACTTCTGATTTTCCACATCACATCAATTTATCGATACTTTATCAACACTTATAAAAAAAGTAATACTAATTTTTAAGAATTGATGTAGGTAGAAGTTGTTAAACTCATCCCACAATGACAGTAACATTTATCATTTTAGATCTGAAGAATATTTTCTTATTTATGCTAAACTTAATTTTCTGATGAACCAAAAATACACACAACTATTGAAACTACGGAAATAGCCTAGCTCCTATGCGGAGGAAATTCTACATAAGGAAAAACCTATAAGGATACTTTCCAAACCACAAGAAGCCACACATGTGTTAAAGGTTAAGAACTTGCAAATTCTTCAGAACAAACATTTTTCATGTGTAGAACTTCTGTTGGATAAGCAACACAGCGAGATGCTGCCAGACTTCAAAGATCAGAGGAAAGAATCATATTATGAAATTCCCAGAAAACTTAGCCACTTTTTCCACCAACCTTTACAAAGTATCGTCAATAACGCCTATGTTTCAGACACAAGATGTTTTATTTCCGTTCCAGTTGAAGTTGCTGTAATATAGATCTGAACAGCAAGCCTCAAGAGCCTTACCAGAATTTTGGGGACCCTTTTGATAAATTCCGCCACACTTCTAGGAAAAAAACACCAACCGACAAAATAACCTCTGATTTTTTATGCTGTATAATAGCCTTATTTGGAGGAAATTAAGATATATACATCCCTGCCACTAGATGCTATCTAGTATTCAGAAATTCTGTCATCTCAGGCCAAAGGGATCTGCTACAGGAGCATAACACGCATCATTCAACAAGCAAGATCCCCAAAGATCTCTTCATTTTTGTACATGCATGAGTTTCATCTCGTTCTAGATAATCTGTCCATATTTCATTGATACCTAATTAACAAAAATTCAGTTTGTCTGAAATATGGTTTTGAAGACAAGACTCTAGCTAGAGTCTGAGGAAGAAAATAGTCTTTCTTTTTCCCCAGCTATGGCCTTAAAACTACAGGTTCACCTCTCCTTCTGCTCTTCCTGACCACTTTTGCATCTCTAGGCCTTCAACAGGTAAAGCTCAAAAAATTCTGAAAAAGAAAAAAAAAAAAGTTTGGGCAAGAAAAAGCTGACGAAAATTCTTGCAAGAGCTTCCAGTTCTTCTTCATCTGCATTATATTATGGTGACTAGGCCCCTGTCTGCTTAGCCAAGAACCCATTTATTCCACGTTTGCCCCACAGATTTTGGCCAAACGTACCAGCAGCGTAATACTACCAAACAATTTATGTAAACACTCCTTACTATTAACATCTTCCAGATGGGAAACCTACTCTACTTGCATTCCCAGTGTCAAAAGCCGTCTAGCATGCCTGATGTCTGACAAATCTTAGAAAACATTTTCCATGCAAGAACTTTTTCAAAAGGCACTACTGGGAAATGCAGCAATGAAATGACCCAGTTCTCAGCACAGACTTCAGCTTGACTGGCACTGGCACATCAGGCTGACATCAGGCATAGAACCCTTTCTCCAAGGAAATCAACATTGATATGGAGCTCTAAGGAAGACATCATACTCATCTTACTAAATGTGTTGCAGTTCCAATTATTACTAAGTTGTGTGCATAGGAACATGGTTATCAATGCCAAGAATGCCAGCATTTATTTCAGAAAAAAAAAAACAGAGTCTAGTTTTCAATGATTTTGCTTGTAAAATAAGGTTAAAAAACCAAGTTACAACAGGCTTTTTTTCTGCAGTTTCTACAGCATAGTTGGCAATTCACTGTCCTGCCTTTCCTCAAGTGAAATCAAATCACGTGAGTGTAAAAGTCCAAGATTCCCCTAAATAAAATCAGGCATAGGAGGCTGAAGAAAGCATATTACTGCAGGGCTGGATGGAGACAGGTATCTGGTTCCTCTTGGAGGTGTTCTCCATTTGCCAGTTGCCACACAGAGCTAAGTGAGAATGGAATCCACAAGGCACACAGAAATATAATTAGAGGTGTCCAATCCTCCAGTCAACTTATCGATCTATTTCAGTGATCCGTGCAAAGGAAAAGAGTTTCATCAAATCCTTTTCCGTACTGCTTTTTATCTCTACTTTTGACCACAGAAAGAAAGGTGGGCCCAGAGGATTCAATTAAAACAGGCAACGATTTTTCCTGTTGTAGTACATGAGAGGTAATAGAGGTAAATCTATTGCACATGACTTAAGAGCTTGTGAATCAATGGCGAGCCCATTTAGCTTGGCAGGAAGCACAAGCCCTGAACTGGAGGAGAGGCTGTAGACAGATTATAGCTCGCAAGAGCACCGAAGACTCATCTGCAGACCTCGATAGCCAAAGGGGGGGAAAATTAACAGGGCAGCTTGCGATGCGTTCCTCATTTCCTAGGTACCGCATTACACATCTTGACACCAATTCAGGTCACTGGTCAGAAATCTGCAGGCTCCCTCAGCCATCCTTAATTGGCTCCCTGCAGAGATCATGCCCCGTACGTAATGAACAGGTTGACCGCTAAACTCTACTATTTAAATTCAGCGTTGCTACACAGAGCGCAAGCCGTGCTTGGCCAAAAGCCTGGCCTACCTTAGGAACAGCGCTGCGTTGGAAGCTCTCAGCTTTGCTAATGAGCAGATGGGATGATTCTAGAGCGAGACCTCTGCTAGCACAGGATATACCCTTGGCAACTTGCATGGAGCAACTCCTCATCCAGCTACGCTGAGCAATATAAAAACTACATACGTGCTTCCAGGCAGCGCTGGATAGAGAGGACAGTAAAAGTCTGTCTCTCTGTACGCTCTAAGACAGGCTTTTAGTTATTTCAGGGCGTTGGCTTTTGTGATGGGGTTTTATTTATGCTGAATCAGCATGAGTCTTAGCAACGGGGATAACAGGTTGATGATTACCCTGCTGCAGATATTTACTTGGTTGAAGTGCCAGTCTTCCGGGCATGCAGTCAAATTGGTACCTATCAGAAACGAAGCAAGGCCAGAAGCCATGCCTAGTTTAACACTGACCATCATCCATTCAACAAATTTGACATCTTGATTTGGTTTTTAATTAAGGTTTCTTAACATTTTAGCAAAATGCATCACGAGATACTGAGTTTCCCAGTTAAGTTTTAAGAGAACAGGGACTTGCATCATCTATCAATGGAACATCGTGGTGGATTGCTTGGACAGTTTCCTGTTTCAAAAATTTTGCATGGAGGGACTGTACTATCCTGAAAAAAAAGGAATTTAACTTCCACAGAAAGAAGCTTAGGCGATCTAATACCAAGGGGTAAATTAACACACAACAGCTAAACTAAATGTCCTATCAAACACAGCTATCTTCAGCAGCTGCATTCTACTGCAACAGTCACACAATGCAAGCGCTACCTTATAATGTCAGGATTTCATTCTATATAAGAAACCTTATGAAAAGTAGCACATTTGTATGAAAGTATTGCCTCTATCTGGAGACTACTGCACTGTGGCTAGAGCGATGACTTGCACTCTAAATGTAAATGTTTGCGATTTATACAATATCCTATTTCCTCTCTTATGTGCTAAAAGCAGTTGCAAAACACATTATCAAGAACTCATTACTACCGAGTTCCCGGAAAAAGTAAAGTAACGAATCCCCAAAGATATAGCCTCTATTACATATAATGGATGCACTTAAATCATTCCTGAAAAAGACCAGCAAGCTCAAATAACAGCCTCAGTCTGCTAGGTAACATTCCTCCCTGCAAAACGTTATCAATCCGACCTCAGAGGAAGAAAGTTCTACAATTCAGGAGACAAAAGCAAGTGCTCTTTTGAAAATCTACACAGCTAAAATCAGGCAGAGGTTGGTCAGAGACGAAAAAACCTATTGCAAAGGTCTATTTTGACACAAACACCAAGGCCATGGAAGTCCAATGCCGCTATTTATTAAGCTGCTTATCTCTCTCACGCCCACTATATCCAAGATATATACAATAAATCACCTGAAGCAGGCCAGCTGCTCATAGCTGCTGACCTTGCAGTAGACAGATTCAAAGTTATTATCACCGCCTTCAACTGATCCATACTGATCCTGTTTAATGGAAACAGTGAACTCTTGAAGATAACATTATATTACACTGATGTCAGTAAGATATCAAGTGTGCTTTTCCTATGCCTTCTGACATAAACTATAATGCTATCATTCTACATAAAGTGCAAAAAAAAAAAAAAAAAAGGAAATTTCAGATAACACAGATATACTTGGTTGCGAGTACAAGTCAGCACTTCAGAAATTCAGGCCAAAGGACAGCGCGTATTAGTTTATTGCATATTTGCACAGTGTAAGCCAAGCTACAAGCTCATAACAAGTGCAGGGAAAGAAGAAAAGTTGGTTGTTGTTTTGTCAAAGAAAATGGTCAATAGCAGAAAAGTAGCACAAAGGAAATACCTTAAGATCTCGCCTTTCCAGATGTAAAAGCTCAGAGCCTCGGATGTCATGGCTGATGAAGATTTCTTTGTACTCTCCCAAACTGAGCAGATCCAGCCAAGCAGCAACTTCATCTGTGCCCCATTTTTGAACTACCAAAGTTAAGAGCAAAACCCCCTTAATTTCTACATGCTCAAATGCATCACAAGCAAAGGTTAGGCCAAAGAGAGTGGAAAACAGAGTAGAATTGCCGTGCTAGCAAAGGGAAAGGTTAGAGGTGTCATTTCCACAAAAACGGACAATTTCCTTTTTACATGCAGGTTACAGGTTAGCAGTTAACATGAGAAAGTATCTAAACAAAGTTGGGGTTCTTTGCTTTGCAGCCATGCTTTCAGCTTTACTCAGTTTCTTCAGTAAAGCCTTTAAAACTTCACGACCCAACAAATTCACATTAAACCATCTTAGGATCAGTGACGCAAAGTCTAATGTTGTTCTGCTTTATACCATTAATTTATTAGTAGTCATCCAGGGAGAGGAGAAGCCTTCAAAAACTAATTAATGTGTAAAATTAAAACATCAACCATACCTCAAATATAGCAATGGCAGCAAGCAATTCCAGTTTTAATTAACAGTTTCTAGTATTCTTAATTAATGCAACAAGTATTCTTTAAGCTACTGTGTTACATAGGCCATTAATAAGCTCTCTGTAAAACATTGTTCTCTAAGGTTAGTTGCCCACATTAGTCCTAATAAGACCACATTTATTGAAAAAAAAAAAGTTATGCTACTTATTGCTATAATTTTGCAACTTCATTCAATGCTGCTCAGTTTTACAATGAAGTGAAATCTGAAGTCTAATCTGAAATCTAAAGTCTGATCAACAACTTCAAGATTTTCCAGATTTTGACCAACTGTCCATTTAAAAGACAAAGATCTAGAAATAGTTTTAGGCCCATCTGATCACTGATTAACTCCTGGACATAATCTTAAGGAAGTCAGTTCATGCATAAGAATGGGAAGAGAGGAGAGTGGAGTTTGTTCAACTTCTTCTAATTAAAAAAAACCCAAAACCAATATTGACTATTATGGCTTTTTGTTTGATTTGTCTCACTCACTGAACTTAAAACCCATCTGACATTTAATAACTGGTTAATTAAACCAGTATGATAAAAGCTATTGCGCATCTTCTGAAACTAACCTGAAAAACCTGGACGGGAGTTTCACAGGGAAACAGTGTGTTTACCTACAACTTGTATTGCTATGAGTTAATCAAATGTAACCACCAGCAAAGACACAGGTCCTGTCACATAATAAGACTACCTAAATATTTTCACAGTAGTTCTTTGTTTCACTTGGAATTCCTACTGAATGGTTTCTAAATGCACTGAAAGAAATCTTCATCCTAATGAAGATGCCAGTTAGCTCAGTTGCCTTGCACTTTTACTTTACTGTTGAGTACATCATTTCAGGTCTTACTAAAAAAAAACAACCCATAAAAATCACATTCTCCCCAAATGCTACTATTTTTCTTGAAATTTTAAAACACATACCAGGCTGAGGGCTGGTCTTATGCTTCTGAACTTTTTCTTTTTTAAACTTTGGCACTATGCGAAACACTGTACTTCTGTTGTTTCTTTTAGCATAATCCAGAGGGGGATCCTGCATGAAAGAAGAGGCATAGTTACCTTTAATTAACAGAAAACAACAGTGAAATTACATGCTTGAGATTGTAATTCACAGTTATCCTCAAAAAATGATACCGAATTTTACTTTCATAAAGAATAATGTTGGGATGTAACTCTGTAACTGTTTCATTTATGAAATAGCCATTCAAACCCTTTACATTCACAAAAGGAAACAAAACACACAAAAAGCCCTAAACTTAGAAGCTGGTTCACAGCAGACAGAAAGGATCCAGCATCACTCCTGAAACTGCCTCTCCAGATCATGAGGGATTCTTACTTAGTTTTCCCTGTCAAAAGAAAATTAAGTTCAATTAGAAGCAGGAACTATTAATCAAACTCACCTCATCATCATTTGGTTGAAAAACGTAATAAAGCCAAGGTATCTCAGCAAGTTTTCTCAACTCTATTTCCACACTGTGCAAAGCATCAGACAAGAGCTCTTCATGGGGAGCTTCCAACTGCTGTTTATTAACAGGTCAGAAAAATAGCATTTTTAGTTTTGTTAATATATAACATTTAAATCTAGATATGTTCTTACCACACACAAACAGATCACTACTTCACGGTGAGTGTAAACAAACAGTGAAAAAAAAATAATTTTACCACATTAAATTTTCCTTCAGAGATACATCAGACCACTGTGACACTACATTTAGCATGGTCCCAACCACACAGTGATGACTGAGGCTTTTGGTGCAGACCAGCTGGACCTAGCTGTCAATCACTGGCATCATTCACCACATTCCTGAGTCTTCAGAGAGCAAATGTAACCTGGTAACACCAATTCTAGAACACACTAGAAATGGAAACTACCAGCACAAGGAGATAAAACCTGACCAGAAAAACAAAAGCCTGGAAAATCTTTGTGTGAAAAGTAGCGTCCAAAAAATGAATAGATGGTAGTAAGCTTGAGTTATTATTTGCAAATGTCTTCATGTGATAGATCACTCTCTTGTGGTCAAGTTAGAGGAAATGGATCTTACTGAAGATGCTTCATTCCCAAAGCTTCTCCAGTGGTGATAGAATACCTGCACTACCCCTTCTAAATAGGTAAGATATGGAGCGATAGCCACTGCTGCTGGCTGAGGGTGGGAAGAATGCAGACCAGGCATGGAAGAGGGACATGATTGCATCCCCAGACGGGAGACAAAAAGCAAAACACATTAGTGAAGGCCAAAGAGGAAAAGAAAGTGGGAGCAGCGTAAAAATCTTGGGACTTGCTGACCTACAGGACTTTGGTTCTATCAAGACTTTGAGAATCCCACGGAAGCACCAGTTTTCCTTAAAAACCTGGTCTGAAAACTATTCTGCAGCTGTTGTATGAGTCCAAGCTGTGAGGAGGAGGTAAGGCAGACAGCTCATCCCTGGCAAAGGTGTTTTGGGCTTATCTGGGGTTGCTGAAACACCATTTTGAGGTAAAGAGTTTAATCCTGGAACGAGCTGCTCAGAATCACTAATAAAGCAATCTGAACATCTGTTTCTCTCTTTGAAGTAAAAGTAGTCCCAAAGCAGTACAGAATATCCTTTTGAAAGGATCTAATTAAGTTATATCCTAGCGAATGCATTTTTAAAATGGAGTTGCAACAGAATCTTTGATCTCTAGTGTTGGAAAAAGATTTTGACATCACTGGGGTTTGGTGATAAATTACAAGCCCCCGTTAATTTATCCTAGGTAACAAAAACTTCTTTCCTTTGCTTCAATAGTTTGCATATGCTGCCACCTTTCAAAGCAGAGACCATCTTTAGTAAGATGTTGCTGTTCAGCATAGTAATACTGGCAATATAAGCTCCCTCTTGCTATCATGTTATTATCTCTTCTAAAGCTCACAGAATTCAGTGCCCATAAGCAGACTCTGATTGTTCTTTTGCCTTCCTTTTTTTTTTTTTTTTTTTCCGTTTGAATAGTTCAGTTAATTTGGAGCACAGTGGAAGACTCACTTGTCTGCAGAAATTACAACTTTTCTTGTGTTTCAATTTTTAAGAAACTATTTAAGTCATCTATTTTATATAAATGAATGAAGCAGAAAGTTCTGTCTTTCTCAACAAGCACTTATCTAATTCCTTGATTCTCAAAGGAAAACATTTTGCTTGGGAACAAAAGACTCTCATCTGATGGTGAGAAAGTGTATGCATTGGCAATATTGCTCCTGAAATACACCCAAAACAACAGTGTAATTCTGGTAAAGGAAGAGTCAGCAATTTTGGATAAATTCTCCTCCTACAACAGCTTGGAAAAGCTTCTTATTTCCAAGATGGAATCATAGAATTGTTCAGGTTGGAAGGCACCTTTAAGATCACCAAGTTCAACTATTAACCTAGCCTGACAAAACCATTTCTAAACCATGTCCCCAGGTACTACGTCTACCTTTTTTTTTAAATACCTCCAGGGATGGCAAATCCACCACCTCCCTGGGCAGCCTATTCCAATGTTTGATAACCTTTTCAGTGAAAAAATTTTTCCTGATATCCAATCTAAACCTCACCTGGCATAATTAACACTATGGAATTTAACACTATGAATGAAACAATGAAAATACAGGATTTTTTCAATTCCTTCCCAAATTACATTTTTAATATGAAAATATTTTATTTCAGTGAGCTCAGATCACTTCATTCAGTTGAAATGAAACATTCTGTCGTACTTCTCCCTTAATACATTGGAAAATTGTGTCTCTGTTCCAGACTGGAAATGCTTTTTAAAAAGCAAAAATGGAAATAGTGCCTTTGGAAAATATCTAGACAAAACAGATTTTTTTTTTATTTTTTTTCCAAACTGTATTCTAGCCATAACCATCTGGGAGATTCCACAAATCAGATTCATTGTCCCCATCTTATCATTTCACTAAAAATGGTATTTATAGCTAATTCACCATTTGATGTCATCTAGCTAATAGTGTTCTATGAACTTTGTTAATCATATATTACAGGAGGTGGAAGGAATCAGAGTCTCCTTGTATATGTATTTACATTTCTTTTGTCTCCTTCAGCAGCCATAACAGAAAGACTCAAGGGCCAGTAAATGGCAACCAAAGAAAAAGCTTACCACGTAGTATATGCAACAAAGGCATCAATTTACTGCTATCAGAAGCTCTTATCACAGAAAAGAGGGGTGAGGGAGAATTGAAAAGGGAAAAAAAATAAAAAGAAAGATAATAGAGAAAGAACGTCCGTCTTTGTCAGAGGAGTAAGGTAATTTGGATAACAGTGTATGATGGCAAAGGCTGATGCATCAAGCATCTGTCTCTATTTTAATAGTGAAGGACTAACATATGCGTAGCTTCAGCATTTATAAAATACACAGCAATAAGGTTAACCAGGGTGCTTTGTTACTGTGACTGTGAAATACTATTCTAAACAAGCATGATATCAAATGAGCGTAATGGGCATCTCTGGAAGATTATCTTGGTATCTTCCAAACGGCCTTTTTATTAAAAAATGTGTTTGATGTAGACTCCTGAAGACATTTGCACAGACCATAATGAGAAGCAGAAGTACAACATGTAAAAATCAGAAATGGACAAATGAATCAAATTAAGCTTTGGAGCCTGAACATGGGACCAGTTCAACACCACAATGAGATCACAACTGGCTATAGAAAATGTAATGTTTCAATGGGAAGGTTTCCACAATAACATTATTTCCAGACTGCCTTGATAAATTACACTAGTCCTAGTATGGTGTCACTGACTTAAACCTTTTCTTCTAACTCCTCTTCCTAAACTATTTTAAAATTTAAACAAATTTCTCTATTTTGATTCCCCGTTCAATCTGAAATATGGGGGATTAGTAATAGCAATTTGAAAAAAAACCAGCAGGCATTTTTCCCTTTTCTTGGACAAAACCATCTAATGAATAACTTTCCCTTCTAAAAACTCATAAAATAAATCATATAAGCCTAATCTTTGACCAAATGGTTTTAACTTAAATGGCCTTAAGACCATACTAACTTTTGGTTACTGTAGAATAGACTTGTACCATTTATCACTTGTGTAAAAAGATATCTGAACCTGCACCAGTAAGTTTCATACCCTAACTCAGCGAAATGAAAACGTTCCTATTGATATCCATTTTTAATTATAACACCTAAATAAACGGTAAGTTAGTATTAAATCAGCTTCCGAATCCAAAGAAAATGTAACAGTTCCTACTGAGTATCTTCTAAATGTAAAACGGGACCAGCATAGAAAACATGACATCTTTTTTTCTCTTCACAATCTCACATATTGAAATTTTTTAATTATACATCCAGGTGCAACAATTCCTGAGCAGTCTTCATCATTTAAGGCACAGAAACACTAGCCAAAGAAGATGACACAAATTCTTCAAATACCATCGGAAGTCTACTGAACACTTAGCAGTTAAAGGTTATAAAGTAATTCCTGCCAGGTATTAGAACAAGGGTGAGATTTATGTGCCCAAATTAGGTATGTAGAAGTTGAATTTATGAGTCTGCACCACTCTCTTTAAAGAAGTTCTCTTTACTGCTAACCTCTCAGGTTCTCTTTAAACTCTGAAGATGGTCACATAACAGAACTCTAGAAGCTCTCTTAAATGCTAAACCTCCAGAAGATGACTTATCTTTTTCTAAGATAGGCCTCCAGGACAGCTGAGTATGAATCAGCCTCAGCAGGGATACTTATTTCTCTCCACTGACTATTAAAAAGAAGAGCCCAGGCAATGACCTTTTCAATATCTGAAATCAGGTAAGACGGATGCCAGCCTAGGACAAGAATTCATAACTCATTGCGATCCAAACCACAAATGCAGTGTAATTAATATCGTCCAATCAGCCTTACAGAGCTTCTTGTAGCATGTCATAAATCCTGCACCAATTAAAAAAAATCAGCAAAGACCAAATCACAGATAACCTGAATGAGGGAATAAACCCATGTATTTTGTGACCTTACCAAAGGAACTCTTCCTACTAGCAGAGATTCAGTTTCATTATGTAGGGCCTTCACATTCACAGCTATCTCCATGGCAGTGTTTCTGGTAAGGCTCTGGGGAATAGGAAGCATAAAAATTATTTGAAGTCATGCAAGTCAGACTGAAAAGAAGTACTTTCGACTTGCAGCACAGATCTTAAGCGTCTTCTAGGAGAAATACATCAGTTTAACTCCACACTGACAACTGCTTCAGCACTGAGAATAGAGAACAAAAATGTAGTATCTATTTACTGTCTTTTCCACAGCTTTATTTAATATGACCTTATACAATCCTGAAGATCGCCAAGTGCCTATCCACCTGTGAGATGAATCCACAATTTTTAAGGATGACAAAGGCCAGCAGAAAAGTTGCGGGCCTGATTTAACAATGACTGTTCATCTGAGTTGTTCACCTTATCTTTAGCAGAAGTAAGCTGCTAGCCATATTTTAAGAAGCAACAGTTAACTAATATATTTACCATATGTCAACTTAGGTTAGATATAGACAGCCTCTACCTAATTAATTTCTTTTGGGTCCAATCCCTGAAAATGCCCAGATTGTTTAGTGTGAAGAGAGAAACCAGGAAACTCATTTCCCCTCACCCCCTTTGCATTCTCTGCATAGCACGTGGATAACAACTAAGCATGAAAGTATCTACAAATGCATCCACAAGAACTGACCTGTATGTAGTAACAGCATTTGTTCAGCCTTTGTCATGCCTCCACCCTGTGTCTGGGGACATGTCTGCACAGCTGTCTGCAAGCAGATGTGAGCTTACTTTGCCTACTGTTTTTGCTGTTTGCTGACCCAAGTTTGGTTTATTTCGGCTCAGAGCTACTTTAGTACACCACCTCACTTGATTTAATAAGTGCTGCTGCACCACTTGAGATGAGCGCCCCTGGTTATGGACCTCTGTTGCAGATGGAGCGAATTCCTTACTGCTTCGAAAGGCAACAGGCAGACTCTTACCGTGCCCCTAATCCAAACTCCTCATCTCCCTTTCGACTGCTCACTCCCCCCCTGCAACAACACCCAGAAGGTCCACGTTTTAAGTGTCATTAATGTCCCTTTCTAACGTCCAACATTCACAAAAGAGAGGATCAGATGGGGAGGACCCTGATGAACGCAGAAACTGCATCTTCTGCTTCTCAGATATCATATCAATCTAACACCGGGAGGGGACTCTACTCTTTAATACTCTTTTGTAAAATGGCAGTTCTCTGAACTCCCATTCCTGGTATTATTAATAAATTTCAGAATCATTCAGCAAGTTCCCTACCAAATTCATCAGCTATGGGTTGTTTCTGTATTCCTGTGAAGGGCTGAGCCTCCCTGCTGCTATATAGAGCAGCACTTTCAGAATCGGAAGTAACTTTCCCTTTCATTTCACCTTAGCAAAAGTGTCAAAAAGGGGGAGAAGATACAGCATCCGTTCATCTGTTAAGCAATTTAATTTAAAGTTGAGCATGTGGAAGTATATTTAGCAGTCTTGTTTATCAAAAACTTCAAGAATTATCATCCAACTTGTTTTAATATGGGGGCAGGGAGTACATTACAGCTCCCATGTCACAAGCTTATGCGCACAGATATTATAACTTATTTACTTATACATAAATCGCTGTTCTTCCTTTACCTCCGGAAACCTTGGGTTGGCTTTATTTAATGCATGTGAACATGCATTAACAGCATGAGCAAGCTCCTGCTCCAAGAGGCCATGTATTTTTGCAGCTTCACAGATCCTACAAAAATATAAAAAAAGAGAAAAATATTTCTTATTTCCCTTAAAGAATAATTCTTAAGAGTACACAACTTCATCAGATGAGAAAATATGCAAAGATATGTTTCACAAACCACTTCTAAAAAATTATAGTCCTTTATAACAAAAGTTGAAATAGTTGAAATACAAGTATCTCTTCAAACAATACAGCACCTCATATAAATTATAGCCATGATGATATTCTGCTATGAAATACTGAGACACATTTATTTGTCTTAGAACACAAATGCTACGCAGAAATTCTACCAAAAAAAACGTTGGGGCTCTTAACTCAAACTAAAGGGGAAAACCCTATAGAAGAAAACCCTATAGAGGAAAACGGTGCACATTAAGATAACTTACTTGAAGTTATCTTAAAAACCATTACACCTATTTCACAAGGAATATCCTTCAGATGTGACGTTAAAATTGGCTGCAATCATTTGAGATTATGGGAGGTCCAGCTGTAATTACCACCTCAGGACCATCTGTAGAACATTAAAGTTTTTAAGCTGTCTTGGCTAAACTTCACTTTGGGTAATTTATAACCTCAATTGCTCTTCTATGTCTACCAGTACAGTATAAAAAGAAGGTGCAGTTCTTCAGTTCCTTTCAGTGCAACCCAATAGACTCCAAGAATTGATTTTAGTGTTTAAGATAACTTGTTATCATGATGAACTGAATAGCAGCATTGTAAAATGTTCTGATTTTTAAGAAAACACTTATCCTAAAAAAAAAAAAAAAAGCTTTTTTTTTTTTCCTGTGAAAATTGAAATGTTTTCTTTATTCTACTTGCATCTCAGGAAGAAAGTAGTTCTTGAAAATAAGCAAGGCTGTGCGATCAGTTTTATACCATCAGCTCACTATCCTCTCAACCCATACAAATTACTGAAGTGTCTGGGGGCACAGAGATGAGGATTTTGAGCATTAGGAATGAAATAGAAAGCTGCAATAACAATGAATGAGTGGATAAATGCAAAAAGCTATGAAGATTTTACCTGGAAATTTGGGCTCCTTGAATTGTGGTGTGTTAGCTGTTTACTTGTACAATATTTTAAGAAAACTTTCAGGTTTATTAAAAAGTGCCCCTCTTTTTGAAACTGTGAATAACAAGGCTTTAAAAAGAAATAAGGTCAGGAGAAGTTAAGGTCAGGTGGATACAGCCACACTGTTGACTTCTAAAGTTGACTTCTAAGAGTTTTTTATCAATAAATATATTTTTGCTTTTGCATAAAATGAGAAGCTTCAATCAAGAGCCTCTCTTCAAAAAAGCTTTCCAGTTTTCTGTCTCCACTGCTCCTTCAGAAAGTTGGTTTTCTCAAGAAAAAACACATAAACACATAAAAATAATATTACAGAAGTGCATAAGAAATGCATACATAAACAAGTTGAGCCTTAAAAATAAAATAAAATAAAGTTTAAAAAATAAATAACTGATAAAATAAATAAAATAACTGATAGAGCGGCAACTAAACATTAAGCAAAAAACCAGGGAAAATATAAAGTTCTACGTCTATGTACGCATTTGCATGAATAATTCAGTCTTGGTGCCTGCGTTGCCAATCCAAACTTACTGTACTTACGATTTAATTTGACTGTACCTGGTAATAAGTTCTTCTGCAGCTTGTGAGCACAGCTGGATCTGTGCAACTTCTTCTTCTGTAGCCAACTCAACAGCCTGCTGAGGGTACAAGGGAGATCGAATGACAGGTTTACAGGAATCATACTTCTGTTTGTCTTCCCAAGACTTCAGGGTGTTTTCAAAGGCCTAAGCAGAACGAATTATACATTCAGTTCACAGCACTTGCAGTGTTCTTACTTATTAAAAAATTAATTTTGTATTTTATATAAATTTGAATTTATATAAAATTGTGGTTAAAATTAATTTAACAAATAAATAATTTTAAAATTTAATTTTACTTTTATATAAATAATACAAGCAGTATAAATAATAAAATGACACATATTTTTTAAACTTAGTATAGAGAACAAGTAATTTCTGAAAGCGCTCTCTTCTCTCTCTCTCCTTCCTGTTATCCTCAAAAAGTGTCTTCCAAAACAATAAGAACACAAAGACAGTGATAATATAAGCACATCTTGTGTGGACAGCAAGATCCAAATCTGAAACTAATACAGGACTCACACCTAAAAAATGGTGGGGAAGAGTAACAAATTTACTAAAATAGAATGCAAATGCCATTAACTCCACCCTAAATTCAACATCCAGATAGTGGACGGAGAACTGAGGGGCAGTTAAGCCTTTCACACAGTAATCCCAGACAAGCAGGAACTCTCCAGTGGCTTTGTGACTGGGTTCTGCTTGAGTCTGTTCTGTCTGAGACTGGGTCACGGGGGAAAGGGAGGATTAGTAGGACAGAGAGACACAGGAGAGAAATCTGCAGAAAGTTATTCTGAAAAATGAACACTATAGGACTTCACTATTTATGCAACTGTGCTAAAACTTCCAGTATGTGATTGTGTACAATGCACCTACAGAAAAAGAAAGAAGGAGAAGAAGAAGCCACAGAAGAAGACAAGGCAGGCAGGGAGGGAAGGGAGGAAGGGAGGAAAGGAGGAAGGAAATATAAAATGTTGACCATTCTTACTATATATTAATAAGAATACAGGAATAGCACTAATAAAACTGATAAAAGCTAACAAAACTTTGTCACTTATACAAAAGAACAATTCTCTGTCTGGCTTATTATAGAAGTTATGTAACTAAATAATTATATAAGCTATATAAATAGTTTTAAAACATTTTTATAAGCACTGTTTTGTGCATGTTATAACTGAATCAAATTATTACGGAAACTGCTGTGAGTAACGTTATTTCATAACACTTTCTGCAACATACTCTGTCTCGTGTTAGCATCTGAGCTCTGTTTTTATGTATGATCTTAATAACTCCCGGGGGCTGGATCCATGCCTCTCCATCGACTTGCACTGGAACCCCTTCATCACCAAGTATGGTGATCTTTACTGACCGACACTGGAAAAGAACAAACACGTTATTTTACAGAGCAATAAATACTAATGCAACTGACGGGCCACCTGAAATATGTTGATTACTAGCAACCATGGCTCTCCTCCAGGCCTGTCTCAAGGATGAAGCACTTTTATACTTCATTCATCATTGAAGACAATTTGTTACCCGTTAAAATTAAAACAACGTCAGCGCTTTATTAATGTATATAGTGGTGGTCATCAGGAGTACCGCTACTTGCCAGCATCCCAAACCGCTGCCAACCATGTTGCGTGCTTTCAAGTAAGAAACAAACCTGTGCTATCCTGTGGTGCTGCAGTTTGATGACTCGTGAAACTGCCATCTGCATGCTGCCAAATACCGCAACGACTTCTAAGATTTTATCATCAAACGATGGAGCCCCAAATATCTGAAAGGAAAAGAAAATATTCAATTTTTGATGGTAAATCTAGTGCTTAGATTGCATGTTCAATTCAGATTGATTTACAGATTCATTTTTAACATTTAAACGCTCTAACTTACTTGTTGTAGAATAACTACATTGTCTTTCAAAAGTCATAGGACTGAGATACCTTAGACAGTAGGCAAATATTGTTTTAAAACAGCAATGCTAATAGCATTTCAAATATCTGAATAACGAGGCATATCCTTATACAGGAAGGATGGATGGCATGTTTCAGCGTGCAGACTAAGAAATGTTTTTCAAGGCAAGATGAAAGGCCAATTCGAATCTCTGCTTTGTTGATGTACTCGATACCTAAGAGGTTCTTGAAGTTAAGAGGAGTAACAGTGTCTTTTTTTCTCAGAAGTACCTATCTTTTTATATTCTGAATTCTCTGGAAACCAACATCTGAGTCCACGCTCGGCTTTGTTAAATACAGCTTTCATACTGAAGATGATCTTGTTTGCACTGTACACAATTATCCACTGTAAATATGAAAACTGCTTCTGTATGGAGCAAATGTCCTGATATCCAGCCAAGACCTTGAATGTCCATGAGCGCAGGAATCTCCACAAATCTCCACAAAGCGCAGGAAGTCTCGAGTGTGTCATTGCCACCTGGTGTTCTGCAGGGGAATTCAGCCATGCCACAGGACCAGTCTTAGGATGGAGTTCAACTGGGTCCGGCAGGAGATACCATGCTAAGGTCACTTGAAGCTTGACCGTTTCATCCTGATATGCAGTAGGGAGCAACGAGGGAGAAAATTCAGCAG